CAAGCTCCGGACACAATGAGTAGAAGACATCTGAGCAGGTAGGTGCTCCTCTTGCTACCTGAGGCGATGAGTCCAATGAGACAGCTGCATCCCTCTCACTGGCTCAGAAGCCCCAGCACAGAGCCTGCCTCAGTGCAGACCTGGCCTTGTCTGGCACCGCAGATGCTGACATTGCAACCAATCGAACGAGCAAACCCTTCCAAGTCACTTCCTCAGTGACCACTTTCCTTGGCTCAATCTTTGCTTCATTGCAGTTTTGTCATTTTGTATTTACTCATGCCACACTTTGATCTGAATATATTTTCCAACCAAATTATAAAATCCCCAAGAGCAAGGATTGGATCTGTATTTCCCTTCCTACTTTATAACTACGTAACAGATAGGAAGTACTCAATGAATACCTGTTAAATCAAAGGACGAGTAAATGTATTTTTCTGAGAGAGGCACTGGTGTCACCCCACTCAGACAGACGATGCTATCTGGGCAGGTGGAATCTGAAAGGGGGGGATGTCTGTAAGAGGGGCAGCATGTGGCAGGCATAACCACTGCGAAGAGGCCTTCAGGTCAGAGCCTTCCCCTGTGCAGTCGAATTACTCAATTTAACGTTTAATTTTCTACCTGGAATAGCCTTCTGGAACATGCCTTACACTTTGAAACTTGGCATAATCCTGTGTTTGAGAGCTATTGAAGACTGACCAGGTAGTGTGACGTTGAAGGACCAGTGACATGCCTGGAACTCTCTCTTTTCTGACTATCTGGTCAGAAAAAGAGAATGGAAGGGAATTGGTCCCAGAGCAGACTAGGCGACAGCATTCCCCATGGTCAGTGGCAGTTGCACAGAAGAACACTGACAGTGACTCTGTAGGACTCATCTTCCCCAATGTCTCACATGGTATTATTTTTTGGATATAATATGCCCCCCATGGCTCAAGTGCTAAGGTGCTGGTCCTTGGTGTAGCAGTGTTCAGAACCGAGGGCTTTGCTGAAGTGACTGGATTATGAGAGCTCTAACTTGACCACGTGGATGTATCCATTAATAAGTTTATAGCTTATTAGGAGATAGGACATAACTGAATGTAGCAGGTCACTGACAGTGTGGCTTTGAAAGCTATATTTTTGCTTTTCCTCTCTCCTGTTCCCTCTCCCTCTGCTTTTTTCTTTCCCTCTCTCTCTCCCTTTGTCTTTCTGCCTTGGCCGCCATGAGTAGCAGCTTTTCTTCTACCCCACTCTTCCATCATGATGTTCTGTCTGGTCACAGACCTACATCAACAGAGCCAGGGACTGAAATCTCTGAAATCACGAGCCAAAAGAAATCTGTGCTCCTTAAAGTTATTCTCAAGTACTTTGTCACAGCAATAGAAAGTTGACAAGTACACATGGGCTAGAAAGATACCCTCTTCCAGACTGTCATAAGACTTTAAAACTACTTAACCAAAAACATGTGAACTGGGTCTTGAAAGAGGAGGAAATTGAAGGCAGAGTGCACAGCAAGGCTTCTCAGGGAGAAAGGACAGTGTGTGCAGAGTGATGAGCCATGAAAGACTAAGACAATCAGAGGACAGTGAGTGCTGGAGGACACTAAAGATCCAACTGGAAAAGTAAATGTGTACTTGGTGGGTTTGAATGATGTTTTCAGATTCAGTATATAGTTATATTTCATCATACAAAGCTGAGGCAGTAAGTGACCTGTCAAGTAGCTTTTTCCTAGTGCAGTGAGAACTAATTTACATTGTTTAGAGAGCAGAACACAAAGAAACTCAACAGTTCTCTAGAAAGTCATAGAAGCATTTAGTTTTAGACATAAATACAATTCAAATTCACATAAAAGAATTAAGCAATTATTAGAAGATTTGCAGAGTTGCATATAATTATGATACAGTAAGAGATAATGACTTCATATAAATTACTTTAAAATCATAATTGTATGGTGAAACATGCCATTCGGTGTTGGCCTCAGGCAGAAAGATAATAATTAATCTTAGTAAAGAAAATGCTCAGAAGAAAAAGGTGCCCTGTAGGAAAGGAGGTGTTGAATTTGCAGGTAGAAATGTGGTTTACACTGCTGTTTTGTTGTTTTTTGGTGCTGTGTCTTCAGGCAAGATATTTAACATCTCTGAATCTTATTTTCCTCTTCCTTTTAATGGGTAAAATAGTAATATTTACATGATAGGCTTGTTTTGGTATAAAGTGATGCAATATATGTGAAAATGCTTTGTAACATAAAGCCATGTTACGAATTATGATAATTATCAATGAAAAAACAAACATTAAAACTCCACTGCAAAAGAAAACATCATTTATATAAATGCCTAATAAAATCACTGCCATCAAACTTTGTTATAATAAATCAAGGAACTTTATAACACTGTCATATGGTGCTTGAATAACAACTGTGTTCTGTTTCCTTCTTAAGGCATTTGTTTATATTATGATCTATTAATGACTATTCTCCTGATCATTAGACCTGGGAGAGCTTCATTAAAAACTGGCTTATGATTATGGAGCAGTGCTGCAAGCTACATCCCAAATTAGAGAATCACAAAGCTTTTCAGTGATTAAAACCCCTTAGGACTTACTCAACAACTTTAACATAGTGTTTTCTAAATTTATTAGAGCGTAGAACTCTGTTTTCCAGTGTTAGCTTTAGTTCCAAAGTATATGTTTTGTAACTTGTTTGGCGAAGTTTTTCTTAAAGCAAAAGGAGCCACAACAAAAACAATAGGTACTCCTATGATTGCTGCATTAATATACTTTTATGATGAATACCTTCAATTAATTAATCTTTATCAAAATGATGAACGAATTCCAACTGCTCTATTGGAATGGAATTTTTTTCCATTGCAAACATTTTATTATTCTCCATTGCTAGATGACTTTTTGATACCGTTTAAAAATAATTTACACCAGGAAAACAGTGTGTCAAAAAATGTTTTTTAGGCAGAAAAATTCAGTCATTAAGAGTGCAAGCAAGCTGGCCATGCTAGGACTGCTGATTGGTGAATTCCAGTGAATTCTGGAGCGAAGGGGTCTTCTCCAGATCCAGCAACTGATCGGATGTTAAAGCAAAATGGTTGTGTTTTACTATGTGGCCCCCCAGGGTATCATTAGTTAGAGCTGCTTCCTATCCTTTCAGACACTGTTTTAAAACAAGCCTGAAGTTTTGGGGCAGGTATAACATGGCCACGCATGGCTCAAGTTTTTGATTATAGCAGATAAGATGAAGAATCATTGGTGGTCTCATATCACCCAGACATTGTTCTGAGATCTTCTGGAATCCTACAGTAGATCCAGACGATAGCACTTGTAATTTTATAGATGTATTGAAGACTCACATTCCTTCATTCCACAATCTGATTAATATTACCAGCATATACAGAGGCAAGCTCATAGCTTTCTTCTAAATTAAGCAGTAAATCACTTTTGCTCCTTTTGGTATTAGCTGAGATAATAGTGCCAAGAACTAATTAACTAAGCAGCTCATTAAAAAGTCGAGTAGGTGCACAGGAAATTAGTTTGTCTCTCAGCATTGCTTTGATCTGATCTTCACTTCTGTTTTCTCTGGATAGCTTTTTGTTTTATTAACGTAGGCTTGCTTCTCTCATATCTCAGGTTAGACAAAGAGAAATATGTATCAACTCCCATCCTGCCAAATTTTACATTTTAGCAACTTGATAAAAGATGTTTATTAATTAAGACTCCAAAGTATGATTATTAAAAAAGAATTTGGTTTTAATCTTAAAGGGATTTTAGAATTGTTCTTATATATTTTAGTTCACAAAATACAAACTTCGAGTTTACAGCAAACTGAAAACATACCGTATTTAGTCATGGAGGATAATTAGACTTTATAAAACTAAATATTTTTATATATGGCTGTTTTTCCTTTTTAATTTCTGAAATGGCAGCTCTGATGAAAGCACATGTAACATCATCCTGCTATTGAATTTGTATTTTTGAATGGTTTTAGTATAATCTGATATGTGTGTGCAAACTTATGGGCGTATGTGTATTAATGTAGTGTTTTTAATATTCTTGGTTATTATAGATTATCCAGGAGTGTATCTGTTTTCATTATTCTGATTATTAAAGTGCAAGATGCTGCTGGTGTTAACAATTATTGAGAGCCATAAGATAAAAAGGTTTCAGATGTTGATGATGTGGATGGTCAGACTGGAAAGCTGGCCATTCTGAATAAAGTTAAACTGGGTGTGTTGGTGTTCAGGAAGTAGTTTGTGAACTAGTAGTTACTGTAGGTTAGGTCTCCACAGGTGAATTAGTTTTCCTTAAGGAATGATAGCACACTACTAAATAAACAGGGGCTAGTGAACACAGTTATTACATGGGCCTTCTTTGAAAAGTGACTTTTGCTGCATGTCAGAAAATGAATTTACAGAAAGTTTTCCTTAACACGGCAGAGAGAACCTTTAATGAGCAGAACTGAAGTTATGGTGTTACTTACTATGGCCTAGATTCTTATTCATATACACAGAATTATGCTTAGTCTAGAATGCAGGGGGGAAAATAGTCACAGAAAGAGCCATAGGCAAATGCTGGTAATTTTCCTCCACCTCGATCTTGCCCTGACTTCTACCGCTGACAGGTGTGTGTGTGTGTGTGTGTGTGTGTGCGTGTGTGTGTGAACTCCTTCTTCACATATCTTCTGTATGTAAAGTTCACCATTCTCAAACCTCGGGGAGCTTAATGATTGACTCACCCTCAAGAGTCCCTCAAGGACTTCAGTGCAGATCAGCATGGATTCCTGCAAATAGGACAGATCCAAGAAACCCAACCTTAACTTACCAAGAACCCTAACCGTCAGATGTAAGGTCACACCAAGAGCCTCTCTGTGCTGTGTGACCCAGGAAAGAAGGAGCAGACGCGGGGCATCCAGGTTCTGCTCCTGGGGGACAGCTGGATAGCTCGCCCCACCTGGGAGGATGCTTTTGTTTACATCTCAGGTTGCCGCCCGGCGATTGGTGGCTGGGCTGGAAGGGAGGGTCCGCAGGAAAGGCGACACTGGGGATGCTGCCCCCTATCACATGATGGAAATTTCCACTCTTTAGAAAGGCGAAAAGAAAAGAAGGGTCTCTTGATCCACCTTTTCCTAATACTTCCCCTGGATTCGAATCCAAAGAGGACAGGAAAAGAGGTGGGTGAGTAAAAAGTCTGTGTATTTTCTGTTAGATTTAGAAATCTGTCACTATGCAGACTGGAAGCTGGGTCCTACCCTGGACGGATTTGTGTGGGAGCCAGGACTCTCCCACGAGTGCACCCCGGTCTTTCAGCCGTCTGGGACTTAGGCTAGGCTCTGTGGCTCTTCATAAATTATTGACAGTCCCTAACCTTAATATTTTCGAAATAATCATACTTCGGGCGGTTCCAGGCTGATAACTGGGCTGCCCCAAAATTAAGTAAAGCAGAGCATCAGAGGCTACAGGCTGCCAGAAAGCGCTTTCCTGGGACTCCCTTTCCTAGGAGAGAGGTGTTTGTGCCCAGGCAGCCTCCACGGGGGCGAGGAGGTTGGGGGACAGGGTATCCGGCGTTGGGTCTGAGTCCCAGGTTCTCTTGACTGGATTTAGGGTGGTGTGCGTTGGGACCTTTTTGCGTCGGGGAGTGACCTGGCCGGGACGGTCGCTCCGAGTCCGCCGGTCCGCTGGAGATCGTGCCTGCAAAGTGTTACACGAGTCTGCGGTCCTGAGCCCGCGTCCTCCGGGCGGGCACACTGGGTGCGGGGTTTAAAATACACGAAAGGTCGCTAATAGCTGAGCTGCGTCGAGAGCCAGCGTGATTCCCCGAGCTGGGGTTCCGGTCTGGGGAGCACCCCAGGAGTCTCAGTTGTGGGGAGGGGGCGAGGACAGTGCAGGGGCTGGGCGCGGGTGTGGACGTGGGCGAAACTGTTGACTGAGCCCGCGGCCCGCGCCGTGGGGCTGCAGAGCCTGCGGGGCGCAGCGGGGACGAGGGAGGGGACCGAGGAATGCGCAGAGCTCGCGGAGGGGGTCCGCGGAGAGGGAGTCCCAGGGCGGAGGCGGAGAGCAGTGGGTGAGCAGAGGCTGGGCCCGGGGCCGGGGCAAGTCGGGGAGAGGAGCAAAGGGAAGAGAATGAGTGAAAGGAGGCGGGGGGCACGGGAGCCGGGGCGCAGGAACTCCTGGAAGGGAGGGCGGCGGCTAGCGGGTGGCGGACCGCAGCGCGCAGGGGGGCGCTGCTCCTGGCTCCTGGCCGCGGCGGGACTGAGCGGGTGCCTGGGTGCGGTGGGGGTGCGGATCGCCCAGGATCCAGGTCCTCCCAGTAGTCCCGCAGGGAGAGATGGAGAGAGCGTCTCTCCTCGGAGCCCCGCTGGGTCTGGAGATGCTGTCCTGGCACTGACTTGACTGGAGGAGGACGAGTGACCTCAGCCGGAAGAGCCAGGCGAGGGGCACGAGGGCGAGGTGTGCCAGGGCGTTTGCTGGGTGTTGTGGGGGCAACGATGAGGGTCTTGAGAGCCTGGGCAAGGGCCAGGGCTCGCGAGCAGCGGCTGGCCGGGTACCTGGGCGGGGCCCTGCGGGATCCGACAGGTTGGCACTAGGTGGCATCTTGGGAGAAAGGCGCATCTCTTTCTGGGCACCTCCTCTCTCAGTGGGTTCTAGGTGTCTATGAATGAAGAGAGTAAGAGCGACCCTGGTGGAGGGGGCAGATCCTAGCCGGGCACTTTGCACAGCCTCCTACTCCGGTGGGGTCCTCCAAGGCTCCAGGCCGGCCTGCGGTGCGACCCAGCTGCAGATGGCCTGCCCGCCATGGCAGCTGCTTTCCTTAGCGCCTATTAGTTTCCGAGGCAGAGGCAGCGAAAACATAATCATTAAGACCACATTGCCTTAAAGAGAAACATCCTACACAGAGGTCACAATTTTCAGAGCCCTTTAGCTGGTGCTACAGCTAGACTTTGCTTCAGCTGTCTTTTTGTGGAGGTTAACTGGGAGGGGGTTGGGCCCACTGTTGTTCCTACAGCAAACAAGTCTCTAAAAAGTCATTGAAATCATAGACTCTGTCATTCAACACAAGTGTATGTGTGTTTGAGAGAGAGAGAGAGAGAGAGAGAGAGAGAGAGAGAGAGAGAGAGAGACTCAAATTCTAACCAAGGAATCTACAAAAAAATCTATTTCTGAATCACATCTATAGGGGGAGAGGCACTAAAGAGAACATCTGATCTTTACAGATTACTACATACCATTCGTGGTCAGAGACAGGAGGCTTTTATTGGTCTTATGGAAAAACAACAAAAAGCTGAAAGATTGGTATAAGGACATAAATACATTTTTTTTTTTTTTCTCAGCTGCTAGGATAAGGGTTGAACAAAAGCCCAGAACTACCAGGACAATGATACAGGCTCTCACATGCACAGCAATCACATTGCTTCTGGTTACTGTTTCTTTTTTAAAACAGCCTTATGAGATAGGTCTCATTACTGTGCCCATTTTGCAGATCAGAAAATGGAGACATAAAATGTGGGAAAAGAAATTCTGTTTAGGTGTTAATTGCTCTTTTATGTAAATGAACAATTCTTTTTCACCTTATTGTGAGCAAAATTGGACAGGTGACTTGTAGGGCCACAAGGCTAACTTACTGAGCAGTTTTTGATGTTGTTTATTTGTGAACTGAAGCCAGGGCTTCACATATGCATAGCAAGTCCTCGACCTTTGAACTGTGCCCGCAACGCTGATTACTGATGTCACAGGCTCATGCTACCAAGAGAGCCAAAGACCTGATCTCACCGGTAAGCGTTCCGGATCTTTGTGGCTCCAGAACTTTCTCATTTAACTGACAGTTGGGAAATACGTTGTATGCGTACAGTTTACATGTCAGTTTTTCAGCTGCTGGAGGCAGAGCAGCCTGTGAACTATGCGTTTGTCTTTTTTGTGGTATTGTCTTTGCTCATTTCTGCAGTGTTATTCCAGCTTCAATTTGTTTTGCCCTGCCCTGTTTTTAAAATTTTAAAAGTCTCTTCCTCCTCCTTCTTTTTAAATTTTGAGATACTCAAAGCAATGATTTCTATAAAAAACAAAAATTTAATAGATTTAATGGCTAGTTGTATACCCTTGACATGCATCAAAATAATAATGTATCAAAATAATAATATCGTTTTTTTAAAAAACAAAAAAAAAAACCACATACTTCATGTATCTTGTGGGAAGAATAAGGGGCAGGAGAGGGAGAGTCAAAGGAAAAGAGAAGAGAAACTTGTAAGAGCCAGGCTGTGTGCTAGCAAAACCTTTATGTACCTCATTTAATTTTCACACAGTAACTCCATCTTACATGCATTTGCTATGTTCATTTTACAGAGGAGGCGTGTGAAGCCCAGAGTAGCTAAGCAAAGAGCCAAAGGTCACACAGTTAGTAATGACACAACCAGTGTCATGGGAACCAGATCTGTCCAAATCAAAGCTCCTGCTTGTCCTAATTAAGGCAGCAATAAAATAAAGACAATTGGGAAAGAGGAGAACTAAATTTCAAGCAATAGAAGATGGCTAGAAGTGTGCAACAAAACACACTAGGTTGTGGGTGATGAGAGAAATGGAAAAATTAAAATCACTTTCACTGCTAATCTCCGATCCATCTCCCTCTCACTACTAATGTAACAACCTAATTCCACTCATTCTAGGAATAATGAGTGAATGTCATTGTCTTCCAGGAACCATACTAAGGAGTTTCTTTTGTCTCTATCACTAATACCTAGCACAGTGCTAACGAATACTAAAGTACCAGGAGTACTTGTTGGATAATGAATTAGCGTAGTAGAGGAAAGTATGCACAAGTAAACAGTTGTGGGACTGCATAAAAAAGACCAGAGGAAATCACATTTGGGAACTTCACCACGGAATGCAGCTTTGGAAAGGGGGCAGGAACAGTGAAAGACTGAGGGGTGCTGGAGCTAAGTTCTAAAGCAGAAGCTAAAGTTAGCCAGAAGGAACTGGAGGAAGCCAGGAGATGCCTCTCCCCAGAGAGGGCAGCCTGAAGGGAAGGAGGAGTGGGGGTCACCTCGGGAGCTTTGGAGTTTCTACCGGGACTGGAGAAGTTCAGGGAGAAGGCTAGAAAGGGAGGTGTGGTCTCTAAAGATGTCCCTTAGCTCTGCCCCGCCCTTGAATTTTGGCAGCGACCTGGGTAAGAAAGAACCAAACAACTAAATATGTTTATGAAACTGAGGTCACAATAGCACTGCTTGGGCTTCTGAGCACTAATGAGTTACCTGTGCTCAGACCAGCAGCTATTTGTACTAATGTTATCATGTTTACCATCAGAAGCATTAGTTGAAATGTTGACAAGTGTCCACATTAATGCTTTTTGATAGTGTTTCCTTCTGTCATAGCTAAAGTAAAGGAACTAAGAGAAGAAATGAAGAAAAGACTAAATAATACACAGGATGGTACAGTCCAGAGAATGATCTCATTCCCAGGATATGAGTGAAATGTCCCCGATTTCCTGTTGGATAATTCCTCCCACTGCTAGTGGTCTGTCTACACCAGCGTCACTTCAGTTCCACCCTTGTCTCTTGTTTTTGTTCACTGCTTGTTCGCTGCTGTGTCCCAGCACCTTACTTTGTGTCTGGCATAAATAGACACTGGTGCCTGTGTGTAGAATGAATGAAGGAAAGAAAACTTTCTTTTTTCTCTCTTTTCTTGTACAGTATTTATTTTTCAAATAAATACATTTTTACTTAACTATTGAAGGCCTGTGCATTGTTCATAGGCAGTGTATGTATGTTTAAATTAAATATTTGTGTAATATGCATGAACCTCAGTACCCTCAGAGCTGAACCTCCTGGGTTTGCATCCTGCCTGTCATTCAGACCCTCCAGTTTTAGACTCTGGTTCTCCCACTTTTTACCTATGAACAAGTGAGTTAGCCTGTCTGCTTTACTCTATCTGTAAAGTAATAATAGGTCCTCCCTTACAGAGATGCTGTGAAAAGTAAATGAGCTTATAGCTGCAGAGTATTTGAAATCACACATGGCAGTTCATAAACACTGCAGTTGTTTATTTTTTAATATCTACAAGAAATTCTAGCTTTTCCAGCTAAGTGTAATAACAGAATCTACCTTATACAGTTATTGCAGTGATACTGCATGGCATCTAATAAACTCATTACAATATTGTTACTGTAGATCCTATAGCAAATCTTTATT